ATAATAAGAGCTAAGGGGAAAAAAGGTCAAGGTAAAGACAGAGAGCTGTGTTTTGGTAGGGTGGCCCTTGGATAGAGATTGACATGAAATGAGGGCTATGGCTTCAGATGACCTAGGGAAAACAACAGAACCTACCTGAGAGAGCCGCCATGAGGACTTGATGACATAGGGATATAAAATCCAGCACCTAATATACACCAAGCACTTAATACACAGTGGCTATGATTATTGCTAGCACAACTATTTCTATTACCTATCAGGGGTGTTTGGGTAAATTCATTAGAAAAAAACCGAACTCATTATGTCTCCTTCATTTTTCAGGAGACAGCTTATGACAAGTCACAGCTCAGGGGCTCACACCTCCAAGACTCTATATTTATAACAGGTTAAAAAAGCAAATTTCACCCGGCTTAGGTTCCCAGGGCAATGGCAGTCACCCATAATGAGGAAAACAATACCTCCAGGCTCAACCTGCAGGGAGAAGTGTGCTAAGTGTGATTTCTCACCACTCAGCTCCCATCCCAGGCTGGTCAGGTCACGTGATACTAGTTCTGTTGCCTAGAAAGGGCTCTGAGGGATGCTGGGAGAAGGGTACTGAGGATCTTGCCAAGTGGAACTGCGTAAGACCTCAAGGTTTTTACTTTTTCAGGCATGTGGAAACTCAATAAGTGTGTGTGTGTGTGTGTGTGTGTGTGTGTGTGTGTGTCAGAGAGAGAGAGAGAAAGAGAGAGAGAGAGAGCAAGCACTTCTGACTTGGAATAATAACGACACTAATTTTTAAGGAAAGCATTTCAAATGCCCCATGTATATATCTACATTTATGAGCCCTACCTCTTGCTATTTAGCCTTAACCCTAGAATAACCAACTGAAAGACATTGGGCAAATCACTTTCCCTCTCTGAGCCTGCATCAGATTTAAGGGCCTAGGTCCCAGAGAAAAGTAGATCAAAGTCTGCTTCTTAGCCCTGCAGGATCTTGGGCATGTGACAACCTTTTGGAGCCTCATCTGTAAACTGGGCACCCTGGTGCAGATAAGAGTGCAGCATGGTACAGGTGTCCAGCAAAACGCCCATAAATACTAGACTCCAGTATCCTCCCTGATAAACACCGGCTCTACCCTCCTCATTGTCTGTTCTGAAGACTAATCAAGGCACTAGTTAAGAAAACATTTTGTGATATAAAGGGTACTTTACAATCACAAGGTTATTAAATTATCATCAGGACTCTGGCTTTGAATGTTATGATACTGAGTGAGGGGACCCGGCTTTCAGAGAAGTGCTTCTCATAGGCTCTTTAAGTAACAACCGATTGGATTTGAAATAGCATCTTCCATGAACAAAAAACAGCCACATGCTTGTTTTGAAAAGCCGAGCCTCTCAGAACTGAAACAGAACAGGTTTATTACACAGTGAGGATTAATTAGCTGCCAGGTATTATTAAATGTTCTCACTCTCAGGACCCACGTAGAACTGGAAACTGTGAAAGCAAGCCAGAGGTAATCATAGTACAGGGAGAGAGAGAAAAATAAAAGACACAATTGCTGGCAATGCAAATTTCAAGAGCAGAGCATGTTAGTAAATTATTGTCTGATTAATATCATGTCAGCTTCTTCTCTTCTTGGAGTCATTGTTCTGAATCTATGGTTTTCAGGTTGCTTTTTTTTTTCTTCTCTTCTACCACTGGGATCAAAAAGGAAGTGAGGCTGACCTTTTCAAAGCTTGCAGTGAAAGGAGGAATGCTGGGGTGTGGTTATTTACCTGAAGTCTAGGAAGGGAGAGGAGTGGAATCAGGTATGAGTAAAGTAATTTTAGGGCAAATGTGTCTTACGTTGGTACAATAAGTGTTAACAGGATTGAAAAATAACAGAGACTCATAAAAATGACGGTTTCAAGGGGGTTTTAGGATGGCAGAATCCAGTGACTACAAACATTCATTTGCAACCACCAGGGTCAAATGTTAAAACTGCAGATTCCTCCAGATCACCCCACAGGGGATGGGTCTTAGGTACAGCATTTGCTAGTCCTCAAACTTAAAAACAAAGCTTGGAGTGATTCACTGGCCAGGGCCTCACAATTGGTTAATAAAAGAACCAGCATGAACCAGAATTGGAATTTTCCAACTCCCAGCCATACCTCAGGGCCTCTTTCTATGTTTGATATGAAGCCTATTTCATTAGCACCACTGTCCTGCCACAGAGGGGACCTCTGCTCCATTGGGAACTCTTCAGGCCTTCTCTCCTCAGTCACAGGAGTGGTCCTGCAAGGAGTTCAGCACAGATCTATGAAATCCCATAGAATACCATCGGTGATAGGAACCCATAGTGGGTGCTATAGACGGCCTGTGAGAAATTCCTTCCACGCAGCAAACCAAGGCAAGGGAGCATCTGGGCAGAAGCTCGTGGTATAACTCAGCAGCACCTACTGTTTACTTTCCCCCACAGGACTGGAACATCCTAAGAAGCAAAAGATGGCTTCATTCCTATTGTACCGCCAGCACTGTGCTTGCAACTTATTAGGTATCCATGAGTAGTTTGTGAAGTGAAGTCAACGGTATAAAAAGTATAAAAAGAAAAATAGGACTTTTCTCATATATGTAGGCCTACTATCAGTAGGGGGTAAGGACAGCCATAATGAAAGTGGTGGTGGTGGTGGTAATGCTTAGAAAACAGCAGGAAACAAACACTGAGTGCTTTCTGTCAGCCAGACACTGCACACACTAAACTTTTTATTACATACAGTATCTCACTGAATCCTTATAATCCACGAAGTAGGGACTGTTGTCATACACGTAATACAGATAAGACACTGTCCACACTCACCAGCTGGAAAGTAACAGAGCCAGAATTCTAATTCAGGCCAGAGCAGATCACAGTTGCTCCTCTTCACTGCTTTTCTCCCCCAGTCTCCAAAGGTCTGTATATGTGGAACACAGGGTATATTCACACTCCTCCCATCTACCCATCTACCCATCACCCTGGCATCCAGGGTTGAAGGTGCAGGCTGGCCAGAGCAAACAGCAGCCAATGTGTGCTGGCTCAGAGGAAGCTTGTACGGAGAGTTCATGCCCGTGAGTACTGGATGTCTCTGCTTCCCAGAGACAGCAAAGAGTGTGTTCAAAAGCTGAACAAATAGGTGAATGGATGAGCAAATAAACCAGTGAGCTAATCAAGGCACACAGTAATCATACTTGTGTGTGTGTGTGTGTGTGTGTGTGTGTGTGTTTGTGTGTGTGTGTGTGGTGGTACTGGGTTTGAACTCAGGACTTCACACACTTGCTAGGCAGGTGCTCTACCACTTGAGCCATGCCCTGAGCCCTTTTTTGCTTTAGTTATTTTTTGGATAGGTCTCAGACTGTGATCCTTCTACCTATGCCTCCTGTATAGCTGGTATTACAGATATGCATCACCAGTCTAGCTTATGGATTGAGGTCTTGCTAACTTTTCACCTGGGCTGATCTTGAACTGTGATCCTCCCAATCTCCCAATCTGAGTGGCTGAATTACAGATGTGTGCTACCACACCTAGACCCCATTTATGGGTGAACCTCTTTTTCCCACATGTGTTTCATTGTCTTCCCTTCTCAGTTTTTGGTAAAGCAACTGGTGTCTGAGAGCATATTTTTTAACACAGTTTTAAAAGTCCCTTGGGGTCAGGGCTGGATCCAACATGTGCCTGCTTTAGTGTTCACATTAAACACATTCAAGCCTAAATTCATCATCCAGTTTTAAACCTCTTTAACCTACATCTAGAGAGGCTTCCCTTCAAAGCTTACTTTTAGAAAGTCATTTTTACTACTACTTCCCTCCTGAATCAAATGCCATGTCTTTCTCCTTTGGTCAAACTTAACTCTCTGACATTGTCTGTATGTGCACTTGTCTTACTCTATTTAAAGTCACAATCATTTGAATGCTAATCTAACAAATCCTCCCTCCTTATCAGGCTCTGCATTTCTGGAAGGCAGAAGGGGAGCTACTCAGACTACAGCACAGAGCAGCCACGGACGAAGGGCCTTCCCTCTGCCTTGCCCTTGGTCTTCACAAGTCACGAGAGTTGTAATAACATTCACCAGGTGGCAGATGGAGAAGCTAAAAGTAGCATGCGTGACTAAAGCTCAGAAGAGTCAAGTGATTTTTAGGATTTGGGTATGAAGTATCCCCCAAAAGGCTCAGAGGGGGAAGGCTAAGACTCCAGCTGGTGGATCTAATAATGGAGAGGTGATCGGGTCGTGAGGGTTCTGACCCAACCAATGGATTCGCAGTCTGATGTCATTACTGGGAGATGGGGGGGGTCTTTTTGGAGGAAGCAGGTTACCAAGGGCATGACTTTGAAGGCCATCTTGTCCCTGGCCCCTTCCTGTCTCTCTGTTCTCGGCTTCCTGGTTGTCACGAGGCCAGCAGCCTCCTGCATATGGTCCTCTTATGTGTTCTGCCTCACCACAGCTTAAAAACAATGGAGTCAGTTGACTATGGACTGAAACCTTTGAGGGTGTAAGTCCAAATAGCTTCCCTCCCCTTTAGATTGTTTCTCTTAGGTATTTTGTCATGGTGACAAAAGTCTGATGAACACAGTGACTGTGAGCTTCTGGTAAGTGCTAGAGTTTAAGAAATACCAGCAATGCTAGATTCTGAAGTTTGTGTTTTGAAGGAAAAGCATCTACTTTCCACTCGAGTACTGTCATGCCCACGCCCCGAGTGCAGAAGGGACTCAAGACATTTCAGATAATGTGAGCAGACTGAGGCTAAGAATATAGTAACGGATGGCAGTGGCAAGCCCTCAGGGACAAAAGGAAAAGCATGCATTTGTAGTCATTAGGACTTGGCACCTTTCCCACTCCTCCATCTGCCACCAGAGACAGGGCTAGGGTAAGTCTCTGCCGAGCGCCCTCACTCACGTTACAGGCGTGACATAAGCAGCAGTCAGCACAGGCCTCCCTCAGGTGGCCTCCCCAGCCCTGGTGGCCCAGGCTGCTGGAAGCCATGGCCATACCAACTGCTGCACTCACCCGCAAGGTCGTGATGGTGGCGGGGTCCCGGAGCCGGCCCTCCTCATCTTTCAGGTTGTAGCCTTCTGGCCTCTTGTCGCGCTCACTGACCTTCCACAGCTTCACAGTTTTGTCTGGGGAGGGACCAGAGGAGGTGAGAATCATGGCGGAGGAAGCTCGTGAAGTGGGAGGACAGGGAGAGTTAAGGATGGAGACAGTAGCTGTGGGTTTCATTGAAGGACGGCAGTGTAAAAAATCTCCCATCACTGGAAAGTGGAACTCACAGTTCAGGACAAGAGCAAGACTGTTGACAATGCAAATTAACTCAATGAATGAGTTAATCTGGCTCATTCAATAAAAAATATTGGTTGAACACTGAATAATAAGAGTAGCCACAGAGATAGACTTTAATATGTAACTGTGGTAGCACTTTACATGAAAACCTTATTTGATGTCCACAGTAACTCTGGGAAGAAGGTACTACTGATAGCTGCTTTTACTATCTTACCTCACTTGAACACTCCTTATCATGTCCTGAGAGAACCTTCATGAACCTCCACTCTCTGACTACCTTGCTCTCCACTTGCTATGCTCCTGCCACATGGCTTCCTTATTGCGCCTTGTCACATTGAGCCCACTCCTGCCTCAGAGCCTTTGCACTTGCTATGCCTTCTTCCAGGAAAGCCCGTTACCCTCTTTTCCCCTTGACTTACTCCTTCGCTTTGCTCTTTCTGTCCATGTGTCAACCTCGGAGGCTTACACAGAACCTTCAGAAAAACGCTGTCCATTCTGTCTCCCTTTTCTCTTGCTATTTTTTTTTATAGTACTTTTCACTACCTGACAATTGGTTAGTTGGCTGGTTGTAAATTTATTTATTATCTGTCTCTCAGTAGATTGTGAACTCTTTGAAAGCAGGGACTTTTGTCTGTCTTGTTCATCACTACACTCTGGCACCTAGAACAGTGACTGGGGCACGGCCGTTGATTTGCAAGTATAGCTGGATGAACGAACGGGTCTCATCTGCATAGTGCACATTGCTAGTGATGCGCGGGGAACTAAGGTGGTACAGGCAGGGTTCAAAATGCTCTTTCCAGTCTGGGGTGCAGCTCAATGGCAGAGCGCTTGCCTAACATGCATATGACCCTGAGTTTCATCAGCAGCACTGGAAAATACATATACATACTTACATACACACATAAAAAACAGCCTTTTCCCCTTGCTGTCTCCTTATAAACCCCACTGGAACTACTTTGTCACCACTGGACCGTGCAGGCACTTTACATTCCTTGAGGAATACCTGTCTTCCATAGCATTAGAACAAAGGTGAGCACTCCCTGGCCAGCAGGGGTCAGACAGGCCAAGGGGGGTGAGTGAGGGGCTAGGCTGTGAGGACAGGGGAACAGTATGTCCTTCCTGAAATATTCAATTCCATTTTTCACGGGAACATTCAGGCTAAACAGATCATGCTTGTGGGCCATGTGCCTGTGTGTACCTGTCTTACCAGAGCCTGCCCTCACTGTTTGTACTGTTTTAACTTACCTTCATAGAAGACGTCTCTGTGTCTGTCCCTACTAGGGTAGCTTTGGAATCAGATGACTGTGGTCCTAAACCCCTCCCCAGCTCTGGCTGCAGTGTAGCTGGGGGCTAGGATTCCCAGGCAGAAGGCAAGTACTTGCATTTCTTTTGAGTGAGGAACAAATAAGAGCCCCATGTTTACAAAGAAGAAAAAAGTACCGCGTGACCAGTTAGATTTGAGTGTCAGATAATAGCAAATCATTTCTTTGTAGTTAGTACGCCCCACATATTTCAACATTACAAATAAAGTTACTATGCGCCTCAGTTTCCTTTTTTGTAAACTGGTGGAAACTGTGTCTTCCTCACGGGCTCTCAGGGTCACATGAATTGCAGTATTACAGTGTTCAACACAGGGCTGGGCTTTTCATACTGCTCTGAGAGTAGCAGCTGTTTCAGAATTAGCAAATTGGGCTCTGACAGCTTTAGCTTACCTCATGATGATGTCTTCTCCACACTGCCGTGGAGGAGAGTGCTCCTTACCTGTCCTTAGTGGGATTTCCTTTCTCCTTTGTCCCCTAAGACCTCCTTTCTCATTGGGCTTCACGCCACCACCTCCCAGAGCCTCCCACCGCTGGGAGGGCAGTTCTTGCAAGCAAAGGGATAGACTTCACAGTACTGCCCCTCCAGGCCGTCAGAAACAATCCCTTGTCCCCGGGAGGTCTTAAATGCGCTCTATTACGCCTTTCACAAGCAAGACGGCTACCTCAACAGGGAAGTGCCTATTTTCGGCTATCTGGCATCACTGGTGCAGGCCACCTCTGCTGGCAGCCAGGCAAGGATGCTAAATTCAGGATCTGTGCACTTTGATGTGTACCCCAATCTGTGCCTTCACCCTGATTTGTGATGGGGCAAGAAGTGAAGAAGCTTTCCTAGTGTGGGCTTAATTTAGAAATTTTCTCTATATGCCAACGCCGTCCCACCCACCCTTTCTGGAGATCCTGCTCACATGAAACTGGGTTTTAGGGTGAGAAAATGAAACACGGGCCATGTTTATAGTCACTTATTAACTATCCAATCAGTTGTGGTTGAGAACGAACCATGAATCAGTGAATTTTAACACCAAATATTTTTTGTTGCTTGGCTTTGAAATGTGCTCCATCCCATTTGCAAGGCAGTTTTTAATCATACATTTGTCATGAGTGATAAACTGCTATACAGAGTAAAACAAAGAACAAAAATCAGCTCTAGTCCCACAGTCAGAGACAAGTATTCTTATAGCATTTTCTCTACTCAATTTTTGGGGGTTACAAAACTATGATAACATTGCATATGTAGATTTTTGTATTTAATCATTTTTCTTTCTTCTTATTACATAAGTGGCATGCATCATTGTAATAAGAAAAACAAGTCAAATAAAATGAAAATGAGCAGAAAGATTAAAAAAGTCTCCCTCAATTCCACTAAACAGTAATAATTGTTATGAAAATGCCTGTACAATCTTTTATTCTATTTATTTATACTATTATACAATTATTTTTAATAGATAATATGCTATATATAGTTGATATTATATATTACCCCTAATTATGTGTTTATCTGTACCAAGATGTATTCCTATGTTTATAAGATCTATTATCTTAAAATATATACAATTTTGAGTAGTGAAACTCTGCCAACAATTAAAAGACTAATAGTGGGTGACTTATTAGTAAACTACAGAAGAATCATACAGGGGAATACTATGCAGTCATAGAAAATGCTGTGGTATTTTAGAAGAATATTTAATAGTTAGGAAAACATTCCTGTTATTAAGTGTTATATTATTTAAAAAATTTCATTAGAAAACAGTTTGTGGAACACATCACATTTCTGTTAAAGATAGATTTATTGATGCCTTTTGTCTTTTTCTTTACATTTAGCTTATCTGGATTTTCTTAATTTTTACAATGAATACACACTACTTTCATAGGAAGAAAAACTCCTAGCAGGAAGCCAGGTAAAACAGTATGTCTTTATGTAGGAAATAACTTCAAGGACTTGATTCACAGTTGAATGTTAGTTTTATTTTCCATTAAAAATTATGAAGTTGAAAACAGATTCTAGTACTCAGCTGCAATTAGATAAACACATTTTTTTCAAAAAGATAACTGATGGAAAATCCAATCCATTTCCCAGTGGTTGTGTTGCCTGGGGTCATTCTTGATTTTATTTCACAGTACTTGGTTGGACTCAGTATTTTGAAGCTCTGTGGAACACGTGTCTGTTACTATGAGTAATGGATTTTCTTTCTTCTGGCTGGTTTTCTGAGTAGTTTATTATTATTTGTGGCAGCTTTAAGCACAATCTTGATATTTATCTTCATTTTCTCTTTTGTACAGTAATTCCAATTGTCTTCCATTAATTTTTGCAAGTTAACCTGTTTGGCTTAGGGGGGAGTCTCAACCTCAATATTAGTATAAAAAAGAAAACCACATAAGAACACAGGAATGTTTCTTATAAGAATTATTTTGAGATGCTGTTGGCATATGAAATAGCAGTCCAAATGAGAAGATAATATCCTTGTTAATCAAAAAACTATTTAAAAACTCAATTAGCAGAACATTATGCTATCTAATTAATCTTCATTGGATTTCACTTTCCTTCCCATCCCCCCACAAAGCAGTTAATAAGTCTTTGAATTTTATTGCAATAATCAATAGGTTAAATTTCATAATATAACGTAATCTAGCTGTAGAAGTTAATCAGACACTTTTCCTCTGTTGGAAGTAATTAAGTCAAAGCCATCAGAAACGTATTTTATTCAGAGTAGCACTGAAACTACAGAGCCCGAGTGAAATGTGAACAGTAAAATTAAAAGGGAAAAAACTGAAACAAAGTCATGTGATATGAATTCTAAGAAAGTAAGGTTTCAAAAAATAAACAAAACAATAAATATAGTTATTAGAAAGAATTAAAGTAATTGGAATCTGGAAAAACAGATGAGTAGAGATCTGGTTATGTTCAGATGAGCTATGCTTGGATAACCCTAACATGGCTGTTTTACAATTGTCATTTTTTATATTTTGTACATTGACTTTATGTTTGAGGCATTTTTGGCTCATATTCATTAAAAAACTTCTCTCCTTTTTCATAAGATTAATATAAGACACATTGTACAAAATTAGAAAATTAAAACAAAAATTTAACCAATGTATAAGCTATCCATAATGCACAATAAAAAATTAATCATAGTGAACTTTTTGATGTATTTCCTTCCAGTCTTTAGAAGAAGAAGGTGTATCAGATATAGATTAGATGTGTGTGTTACAGATATTATCTGTATTTTTTTCACTTGACACGAGCATTTTCCTTCTTTCTAAATGCTGGGTATAGATAAAAAGCAAATCTCTGGCTCCTTGATTTCTATTTAAGCATCTTATAGACCCATACAAAATGCAGTGAATCACTTTCTAACTTACTTGCTTAGGAATGGTGTTTAATTTCTGTATACTAGTCCTCATTGTACGCTACTTGATTAGCACCCTTCAGTCTATGATGTTATTCCTAATTGTTTGAGCACAGATTTCAGCAAAGGGTTAAGAACCTGGAGGGTAGGTGCTTCCACATTTCATTCTGAAATGAATATGCAACCTGACCCTCCATTTCACTGTTAACATCCTTGCTCTCTTACCTATTTATATTCATTCCTCCTAAACCAACAAATGGTGTAAGAAGAATTTGTTGGGAGAAGTATTTGAAAGGAGTTTGAAGAAACCCTTTCATGATCAGTTAGTTTTTTGGAGGTGACCCTATTTCTGTCTGTCTGTCCGTCTCTCTCTTTGTTTTTGGCAGTACTGGAGTTGGAACTCAAGACCCTACCCTTGTTAGGCAGGCACTCTACTGTTTCAGTCACACCTCCAGCCCTCTATCTCTTTTGACTTGTACTCCCAGCTTAGAACTTGATTTTGTCAGCCATCTGCTTTAAAGACCCTAAAATATATTGAGGGATTAATAACTTCTATTCAATATGCCAAACTCACAGAGACAGCACGTTGAGTTTCCTGAAATCTATTCCCAGAATAACACCCAGTGAATCTTAAGACAGGAAGTCACATTCTAAAAACACCTGCAAGTAATCTACATTACTTGGACATGGCAGATGACTGGTTTCACATAATTGGGTCATAAATTTGATATTTATGAAAAGAATAGCTACTATTTACTACTCTTTGTGTGCCAGGCACTCTACTAAGCATCATGCCAATGTGGTTTCTAAGTTTCTCAAAGGCCCACAGGGTGCAGAGGAGAACTGACTGTATCTCTGATAATATCAAAGCAGAAGAATCACTTCCACGTACCATTAGTAGACAGAAGAAAGTAAGCTGCGTTCTGCTGAGGGAGCCATCTTATTTTATTGATTTTTTCTTCTATTTCTAAACTCTTCAGGTAATCGAACTCAGGTTCATGACTCTGGAATGTGCTGTAAACATTGTATTCACCCCTACGATGCACCTGATTTTTACTCTGTAGGAAGGGAAAAGGAAACAAAAGATTAAACCATGGAAGTCAACAGCAAACTCATCAGTTCCTTTTCTTTTTTCTTTGGGCACAGCCATTAGGGGTGGGGTGGGGAGGCTGTGTCAGAGTGAATGAGGCCAGAACCATGTCGGCTATGTGCTCTGCCTTAGATCAGCAGCCTCCAAAGCTTTAGATCAAGCTCTGTTGGGTAAATATCAGTGCCTCTGGTACGTGCACATTTACTTATAAATTAGACTCATGAACTTCTGCCATCACAGCATATACATAGCTCAGAAGTTAAAATAGGACATGATTTAAAAATCAATATAAATAGAAGTTCTAGTATTTTCTTTGTGCCTCCTAACACATGCCTCCCACACCCATTAGAATTAAGTCACTCCATTGGATGGAGTCTACATAATTTATATTTATCCCTACAAAAAATGCAAAGATGTAGCAACTGAAACTTTCACAGCTTTTACTCTGTGGTCACTGACCTTTAAAAATCTCATCTGCGTGTAGTGCAGGGAAAGACAGTGAGGCTCAGTTACGAAATGACCTTTCCAAGGTCACACAGCTCATAAGGAGCAGATTTGGGCACCACACCCACCCTTCCCCCTTTTCCCAGGGTGAGTGACAAAACAGAAAAACACAGAGATCCCATCTGCATGGTTAAGAGAATGATGAGACTTTACCCCTGGTTTCCCTTAGTACTCATGATGCAAAGTACAAACAGCAGGAACTAAATAAATGATGAGAGAATGAAACACAAGGACAAGGATCTGCAGAAAGGAGCAAGAGAAAGAAAAAAAGGGGAAGAGGAGGAAAAAGAGGGTGCTGAAGAGAAAAAAGAGAAGGGAGGTTTTATTTTAGGTATTTGGGGAATATACGACCAAGAGTTTTGAGATTTGGCTTTGGAAAACTTCAAAATTTCAAATCTGGGTGTTTTAAAACATTTGTTACAAAAACTTTACTTATAAAAAAAGGCTCAACTTAAAACTTATGTCCCTAGGTGTACACAGAACATCTAAAGCCGTATTTCAGCTTACAGATGGGGGTGACACTGATCCCAGGTCTGAGGCTCCCCTGACCTTTTGCAGAGTTCACCTACAAAAGTCAAAATGAGGCCTGCCCCAAAAGTGTCACATGGTTTCATTTGTATGCATTTTAATTCTATGCATCCCACAAAGCTAAGCACTTAACTGCATGATCTCTATCCTCACTGACACTTACTTTCCAAAGAACAAAAACCATCCTACTTTGGAAAATGTATCCCCCACCATTCTATTAATGAATCAGCCTTCCCAAATATTTCCATAAATTAAAATAGGTGAAACCTATAAATAGCTAACGGAAAGTGTGAGGTGGAATAGCACTGGTAACATGCTGCCTGGGGTAATTTATGCTAAATAGCTCCTTGGGCTCCTCTTTATCATCACCATGAACATAATTGGATTTTTTAAAAAAAATTAGAGAAGGTTTGAAAATTAGTTTTCCAAGGACTTTGAATGCAGATATACTTGCTATCCTCCTGCACAGAGCTCCAGCCTACCTTAAAAATAAATTTTAAGAATGCTGATTTGTTACCATCCAAATCAGACTGTCAAGTGTGGGTAGCATGTGCCAGACCAATTAGCACCAGGCAGCTCTGGAAAAGCAGGAAAAATTCCAGGTCACGAAGAGCTATTAGTTCCTACTTGCCAACCACTTTTTCACATTTCCAGGGCCAGTGCAATAGGCTGGGTGCCTGATTTAATGCTAAGCACTTGAGTTTATACAGAACCCCGAGGGATTACGATGCCCTTATAGAAATTAATTGCAAATAATGTGCAATTACCAAATATATCACTCTAAATGAGGCTTTCCTTTTTTCAGGGGAGGTGGAATGCAAATGGCTTTGAGGCACAAAGCAGGCATTAAATTGCTAGGGAAGTCTCTTGTGGAGCCTTCCTCTTACATGGGCCTCCCTCATGCTTTCCTGAGTGCCCAGTGAATCTCAGAGGCAGGCAGTGGCAGATGGGACGGTTACTAGAACACAGACTAGCCTGCTGGAAGCTCCAAGACTGTGCCAGGGGAGGACAAGCAAATCAAATTGGGCCATAATTCCACTCTCACAAAACAGAAGCAGATACCAAAAAAACTGAATTTATAGGAAAAAGAGAAACAATTCCTAGTGGAACCCAAGTCTCAGAAAGAAATGGGCTTTTTGAGATTCTCTAGAAGTTGGAACTCTTGCTCAGAAATAGTGTTGCATACAGCACTCAGCTCCAGGGACCTTCATGTCACCTATACTAACATATGGGACATATACTGTGGGATTTCACTCCCTCTGCTAGGGCACACTATCATTTTCTTCTCCACTGACTCAACTTGTCCTCTTCCCATCTGTGGGCAGATAAAGCTATTTTTTTTTTCCTTCTACATATTCTGAGAGTACCTGAAGTTAGGGGAGACTGGATTTCAATAGTTTGAGGACAAATTCCAACATGAAAAACAGAAACTTGCATATTAAGCACTCATGGAATTCTGCAGGTCACGTAAGAACTGAGGTCCTTTTGAATGTGCTGTACCCGGGTTCAGAAAGATAAGGCCATGCCCAGAAAGAGCCCTCTTTTCAGGTGCTTTCGTGAGTTTGAGTGTGCAACTCTTGATGTTAATGACTTTTGGGTAGTTTTAAGTTTTCCAGCAAAGCAGCAAGGTTAAGAGCGACACATGAGGATTAGGGAGCGGCAGGAGGCTTCCTTTAAAAAGAGAAGAAAACGTGCATTTTGCATTTACCGTCACTTACCTCCTGCTCTCGCTGAAACACTACAACCCGACCCCCCTTGTCCCCTGTCGCTAGTAGTTCTCCCGTGTGGTTGAATTCTACCGTAGAGATAATGTCAGCTGAAAAGAAGAAGACAAAGGCAATTTAAGTAACTGCACACTTACTTTGAAAGGATAGATAATAGACACACTTTTCCGTGCATTTAAGGGCTTAGGGCTTCGTCTCTGCAGCGGAATTTGCAAGGATTGTATGTTCTGTGTTTTAAGTGCTACTAGAAGTGGCACTTGGGAAAGTGAATTTCCTAGGTGCCTGCATGCCTGCGTGGTCTCTTGGAATAGCTGGAGAAGACAAAAAGGGAAAAGTGTGTTCAGACTCCTTTGTTGGTGTAAGGGAAAATGAATTTCTTTATGGCTCAGGGAAACAGCAATTGTTTTTGATAATTTCTGATAACCACAGTCCCTTCGCCCTCTCCTGCCCTTTCGCCTTCCTTTGTCTTTTACATCAAGCAAGCTCCCCCAAAGAGTTTTGGTTGCAGCGATTCAAATGAGGGTGGAGGACTGAGAGAAGCGGGAGTCAGGATGCTTGAAGCTCTGACAGGGTGCTTGGAGGGACAGAGCACAGAGCTCAGTGGGAGATGCAGGGAAGGCCCCACTCAGGCTCCAGCTTGATCCAGGCTCCCCCTCTGTGTAGGAGCCCAACCCTTCCTTGTGGAAGAGCATGGCCTTGCTTCAAACCCAAGAGAAGGGAGCTGAGAAAGAAAGATCAGAGGTCAGAGGACAAAGGGCAAGCGGGGCTCTATATTTCTGGATGGAGAAAAGGCAGGGGCACCAGGGACTCAGATCACAGATAATTGCTGAAGGAATGCCAGCTTGCCAAGTCTTTCATTGACACTGGTTACCCCTAGAGGAACAGGGACAGGTAAATTACCTATGATTGGATTTATTAGGGCTATTTTTAGAAAAATGTCAGAGGTTAATTCCCCCACAATTATTTCCCTGCAGGGCCCCAACAATTGCTACCAAGAGTGCAAATGAGTCTTTAAAAAAAAAGAAAGAAAGAAAGAAGGAAAAGAAAAAAGAAAGAAAGAAATGAAAGGAAGGAAGGAAGGAAGGAAAGAAGGGTAATGATGACTATGGCTTTTCACAGTGGACTGATATGAAGGAAAGCAAAGGGGAAACAGTGAGGTAGAAACCTAAGGCAATTCAAGTATCAAATTTTACTTTTATATCATCATTTTAGGATTTTCTTTGTATGCCTGATTTACTCAGGTAAGTAGCATAAATCTGTTTTACATACTTTTTCCACATATAAAAATGCCTTCTAGTGGTCATTCTGTGTGCAAAAGTAAAAAGAATAATGATAAACTTTAGTCACTTTCAGAATAGGCATATTTAAAGAACAATTCATGATGTCTTGTTTTAGCCTCTTAGATGATTAGCCCCTCAGCTAGCAAATTCACTCCAAATGACTACAAAGTAAGCAGGATGAAGTAGTCCAGGTAAACTAAAAAGAGTGTCCCCCTTTTAAGGGGTTGGTAGCTGCTCAGTTTGAGCCAAATGGGGCCATGAAACATTGCATGTGTTGTCAACAACTTTTAACTTTTATATGCTGGCAACTAATTTTTTCAATGTTATAACCAAAAAATAAATAAGTAAAAAACAAATCTTGTCTGGTTTGTTTATGGCTGTTGGGTCACCAGACTATGACTTCTGGCAGTCAGAGTCTTCATTTGGAAAAGGCTACTCTGCTCCTGTTTGGTAGAATCCACTGGAAAACTGGAAATCCAGTCCGTTTTCCCAGGAAGACTGCACTAATCAAGCTTACAGAAACACAAATTAAGCTACAAGATTGCTAAGCTTTTAACATAACTTTAGAAGTCCCAACCATGAGTTAAGTTTTAACGATGCCCAGAATGGTTGGAGGAGCAGCCACTTCAAGTGAGCTATTTGACCATTTTCTTCCCTTATAATTTGTGTATCTTAGCACATTTCTGTCACATTCATATGGGTGAAGGCAACTATTCACTATTTGCACTTGCCTCAGAATGCCCTGACTGAAACGCTAAGGCACACTTCAAACATTAGTTATGGCTTCTGGTTTTTCAGTGAGTACATAGCTAAGGGTTGTATGTAGGGCTTCCTGACCTTGGTAGAACCTAAGGTGGGTATGGTTGTTTCTTTTCACTTTCAGGCTTCTGTCAACTACTGAGGAATATGCATCAAGGCTGTTAACCTGTCCAAATGCTAACATTTCCCAGAGAGAGAGTAGCAGTGACCAAAAAGAGGGTGGTGGGCAGACCTGGTCTGGGATAAATAATGCCACAGTCACGACTTAAGGTTCTGCTTACATGTAGCTTATGCCTTTCCACTGAGCAGCAGTGATGACACTGAGCTCTGGAACTGTCGATGGGCTGCAGGGCCCTCACTAAGAACTAAAAGGTGCACCTTTACTTTTGGTGAAGCTAGGTATCAAAAGAAAGAGCTAAGTAGCCTTTCCAATGTGAACCCTTGGCTCACTTGCGAAGAAAATGTCTCACTACAGGAAACAAAACTTGCTTTCCCAGAGATGACATATAAATTGTTCTTCTGCCTAGACTCTGAAAATGTCTTCACTGTCCCTAAGATCTACATAGGTCAAAACAGAACAGAATTCAAGCTCAAGTCTAAGTTACTTGATCCCAGCCTGTATGAGTAGAGCTCTCCATTATGGAGTACTGGCATGGTCCCAGATTATAAAACATGACTCATTCTTCATTGCTACATTCTCTCAAGAAACTTGCAAGAGAAAGGGTGATTGACATGGCAGAATCCTGAAATTCCTTAGTCCTCTTGCAAAGACCTTACCTTTATTTTAATCCAACTAGCCAGCTGGTCTGTATATGAGGTTGTTTATAACAAGCTGTAGTCTACCTCCCTGCAGAGCACATGCCATTGTAGCTCCAGTTAATACCTGTTTTGAACTTTCATGCTTCCTGACTCATTCATCATTGCTGAGCTGTTAAGTTTAACCGGAATACTTCATTGCCCCATCCATCTCTTCATACGACTGTTTAATAATTGATATGAAACTCATGAATCACCCCACATTCCAATTTCAAGATACTAAGACTCTTGATACACATACTCGTGTGTTTGCAACATGACGTTTGGTAGGGCAGTTTAAATTGCAAAAGACAGGCTGCTTAGTACAGGAAGAGGAAGTGGTAATACCAGTAAGCTAGCAAACTTAGAGGCAACAACTTGGTCTCAAATCTTGATCAACAGAAATCAAATCGAGTTTCAAAATGGCGTCTTTCATCCTTAAATGAGAAGTTTATATGCCAACTTAACATTTCATTAAATGCCCAGTCTGATCACCCTGCTGAGCAAGAAACTATAAACTTGAGCCTTTTCCCTCTGTTCCATATGGTTGTGGATAAAGCGCACATTGACTGAAAAACAAAAGCCCACGACAATGAGAGAGGTTAAATGTAGTTAAAATGATTCTGAGTGGTAGGAGGTTTGCTGGTTTCCACATTTATTTGTGCTAATTTAATTTCTACAAGATGGTGGTGTGGTAACCCCATTTCTAGTTCAACAGGCCCTGTTGAGACTGAGCTTTTCCTTTTAAAAATCAATCTTAGCATCCTAGAAAAGTTCCAGACTAGTAATTTCATACATGAAGTCTCCATTTACCTGAATAATAGATATCGACTGAGCAATTGTATTCATGTGATTGTTTGGCTGAAGAAAATGGAGGGACCCCTAGTTGTGCCCCAGTCTCCCACAGTACCAAGCCAGGCTGGAGTGTGAGCAATGCAAAGGACTCAGTCAAAGCAGACACCCAGGTAAGCAGGTACCTACAGCTCAAATAGAAGGCTGACTGTTTTGATCAAAAGATGACTCAGTTTAGGCTTAGAAAGGGTCTGAACCCAAGTCCACCGGTAGAATGCCATCATGCTGACCAGGTCACTAGCACTGTCTCCCACATCAGTCACAGGGATGGAATGGAAAGGGTAATGCAATCAAACCTTCACAGCCCAGTAAGAGTTTTATCTTTCATCTAAGAAACTTTTGACACATAATAACATAAAGCCATTTATCCTACTTACAGCAGCTGACTAGCTCTGCCCACTCAATCCTGGGCTTTTCTCCTGATGTCGGCTTTAGGTGGATTTTTGTACCTTGAGCTTGGAAGGATGTCAGCAAGGATGGAAAATGGGCTGCATAGTGGACAACAGTGATGAAATGATGGCAGTTGCCATGTTTGTGTAGAGAAGAATTTGGGAGGTGTTCTAGGTTGAGGTCCCTTGACTAACTGGCAATGGGTGCCGTGGGGCAAGGGGTAGGGCACATGTGTAACCTTGTTGTCCCTGCATAGGGCCTTCAGGCTAGACCGGCAATGATTCCGTGGATCACTAAACCAGTGGGGAGTCTTGGGCTTCCCAGTGGGAATTGCAATTACTCCTTCTACCTGCATGAGCCTGTATCTTGGTTCACAGTCCCAAGTCAGTATTCATTTTCTCAGGTAAGCTTTGATACCTGAATTAGTGCATTATAGCATACTTTCTACCAAAAAATACTGGGGGAGGGGAAGAAACCTGGTTATGGCCAAACAAGGTCTGAGGCAAGACACAGGCCACATGCTTACTATCTCTGTCCTATTGTATGTAAGACACACTCCCTGTTTGATCCAGAGTTGATTCTTCTGCTACCTGAATAGTGGCTGGTGCTTGAAACTGAATCCTTTTATTTTCATTTGAATGTATTAATTCTGGGCATACTGGCTTTAACTTTAACCTGGTGCTGATAGTCCTCATATGAAAGAATGCAGGTAGAAGTCCAACTGCTTCAAATCCTAAACTCATATCACAATGGCTGCTTCTATCTAAGGATAAATACAGTGTGCAAATGGGCACCGTTTAATGTCAGTCTGCCCCTGAAGACCAATGTCACTAATGGCCAGGAATGTGTTGTGTAGAGACTTGGATGGCTACTCCTATCCAGGTGCTTTCTTCCCTGTCTGCCTTCCACTGTCCCACCATAGAGGCTGAAAAACTCAGATACTTGCTTAGAATCCTTTGTGGTGAGAAGTGGCTGTGTGATTGGGATCTGACCAACAAGACACAAAGAAAAGTCTA